ACATGATGAAGACCTGTTCTTGTTTATTCTGAAGGGAGTTCTCTGTGCTTCCTGAACTTGGATGTCTGCTTCCTTCCCCAGATTAGGGAAGTTCTCAGCTATAATTTGTTCAAATAAACCTTCTGCCCCTTTCTCTCTCTCTTTTTCCTCTGGAACTCCTATGATATGGATAGATATTATTATATTTCATTGAATCATTTAGGTCTCTAATTCCCCCCTCGTGGCCTACTATTTTCTTATTCTCTTTTTCTTGGCTTCATCATTTTCCATAATTTATCTTCTATTTCAGTTATTCTCTCCTCTCCTTTCTCCATCCTTGCTGTCACTGTATCTAGTTTATTTTGCACCTCATTTACAGCATTTCTTAATTAATTGTGACTATTAGTTCCTTGATCTCTGCAGCAATAGATTCTCTGCTGTCTTCTATGCTTTTTTCAAGCCCAGCTATTAATCTTATGACTATTATTCTAAATTCTGCTCAGATATATTGTTTATATCTATTTTGAGCAATTCTCTGGCTGTCACTTCTTCCTGGAATTTTTCTTAAGGAAAATCCTTCTGTTTCATAATTTTGGTTAGTTTTCTGCCTTTTACATGTTTTAATAGTTTGTTATGTGTCCTGCATCTGTGAGTACTACTATATCAAAAAGGGGTCATACACTGTCCAGGGCCTGGCCCTTCAGGAGGTGTTTTTGGAGTGTGTTGAGTGTTGTCTGTTGTTGTGACTCTGGTTGCTTTATCTTCCTATTTGTAGTGGTGGTTTGGACCTTCCACCAGGTGTGCTTTGATTTGTTCATTGAAATAACGTGGAAAAAATTAAGAAAGGGGGTGGTGGTGAAAGAAGCCTTATTTCATACAAAGAGAGAAATGACAGGGGTGGGGAAAAAAAAATGACCAGGCAGAGGTTCTGAGAAACTACATGGCTTAATCCAGAGAGAGAGAGAGAGAGAGAGAAAGGAAAATAAAGAGGAAGGAGATACAGAAGAGGTATAAAAAGAATAGATTAAAAATGTCGTTGTCTGATGGTGCCTTGGAACTGGCAGCTGTGCTGGTCTAGAGGAGGGGCCTTCTGGTTCAGTCAGTGTCAGTCTCGCTCTGGTAGATATGCAGTTGCCAGGCACGGAGGGGTGGGATTTGGTATAAACAGGTCCTGCCTCCACTGGGGGGGCGGTGGGTGCTGTCTTGTTCCCTGAAGCCCCACCAAGTTGGTGATGGGGAGAAAAACGGTAACACCCCAATCTCCGCTCCCCTGCCGGGTGTCACAAACCACACTGTTCAGACAATCCTCATAGCACCGTGCAGGTGCGAGCAGCCTGTTTGTCCCACTCCGCAGTCTCCAACGCCTCTGAGGCACTTGGCTGGGATTCAAACTCCAATGTCTGAAAGGATCCTGCTCCATGTGCCCCATAGTGCCACTCCACCCAGCTGACGAAAGGTCTCTGGCTGGTGCCTGCAGAGTCATTTGTCTTTGGAGTGGCAATATATCTTCTTCCCATAGCACTCGAAGGAGGGGACTACTCTCCCAATGCACCTCTGAGTTCACTACCTAGTCAGGGCTGGCTCCCCTACCCCCAAGGGCCAGGTGCGGGTACCACACCAGTAGCCAGCTCTTCCATCAATTCTTTACTGCAACTCAAAGAATGTTTAGTGGTTCAATATTTCGCTCAAAACTGAATTCCTGGGTCAGAAATTGGAGGCTCTTTGCAGTGGTCCTAACTTAGCTTTCCAGTCGATCTTTCATTTTATCTTTGTATATATCATTCCTTTACCATCCTGGCAAATCAGTCTACTCACTGTATGCCTTATGATTTCCCTTGTTTCGGTCTTTCTTCATCCCATCCTTTTCCTAGAATGTTCTATCCAAATCCAATTCATTTTCAAACTAGGCCAAATGGAATCTATAAGCCTTTCTTTGTAATCCCAACATAGGTTTTCACCCCTTCCTCAGAACTCCCATAGTGTTTGGTTGTATCAACTAATTCATTCTATCTATCTAAAAAAAAATCTATATATCCATAAATAAATATATATATATATATATATATATATATATATATATATATATATATATATATATATATATATATGTTTGAGCATATTTTGTATTTCTTCTTCTAGATGTAAGACTGCTGATAGCTGTGACTTTATCTTCGTGTTTGCCATACCACCCTCCCACTACCACATTTTGCCAAGCACAACTCCATTTACTCAATTGTTACATATTTATCAAGTGACTATGTACAATGCTGTTGCAGGCACCAGTAGTGGACAAGACGGATACAATTCCTGACCTCATAAAGCTAATTTTCTAGTGAAGGGGAGGAAGACCATATACAAACAAGAAAATAAACAATAACTGAGAGGGAGGGAAACCATAAGAGACTTCAAAATACAGAGAGCAAACTGAGGGTTGATGGGGGTAGGGTAAATGGGTGATGGGCATCAAGGAGAGAACTTGTTGGGATGAGCACTGGGTGTTATATGTAAGTGATGAATCATTGGGTTCTACTCCTGAAACTAACACTACACTTTATGTTAACTAACTTGAGAATAAAACCCATGGATCCTCTTTTTGAGGCCAACATTGATCTGAATATCAAGGAGCCAGACATACAAAGGTTAAGAGGTAGAACATTTCACACAGAAGGACTAGCAGGAACGAGATTCAACGGATGCCAGTGTGGCTGTGCACAGTGGGCAGAGAAGGAATGATAGATGGAAACAAGTGGGCAGGAGCTAGGTCAGGCAGGGTCTTGTAGTTGGTGGGTGGGGTGGGGAGAAAGAAGAAGGAAGAGGTAAAGAAAGGAGGAGACAGGGAAGAAAAGAAGTAGGGATGGATAGAAGGAAATAGTAAAATTGTGGAATCATTATCTTTTAGTGTATTAGTAGTATAATTTTATAAGATAACAAAATCAGCTTTTTTTAATAGAAAAAGACAACAGTCAGAAAGACAAATACCACATGATTTCACTTAAATGTAGAATTTAAGAAACAAAACAAAGAAGAAAAAGAGACAAACTGAAAAACAGTCTCTTAAATACAGAGAACAAATTGGTGGTTGAGAGAGGGGAGGTGGGTGGGAGATGGGTGAGATAGGTAAAGGGGATGAGGAGTACACTTATCATGATGAACACTGAGTAATGTATACAATTGTTGAATCATTATATTGTATGCCTAAAACTAATATAACATTGTGTGTTAATTATACTTGAATTTAAAAATACATTAACAAAAAGAAAGAGTAAAAAGAGAAATTCTTGGGAGGAATTTAAGGAGATGGTAAATAAAGCAAAATTCTAAAGTCTATTAAAATATTATAGTTGGATTAATAATTCCACGCCTACATCTTTTTTTTTTAAATTTTTTTTTTAACATTTATTTATTCTTGAGACAGAGAGAGACAGAGCATGAACGAGGGAGGGTCAGAAAGAGGGAGACACAGAATCCGAAACAGGCTCCAGGCTCTGAGCTGTCAGCACAGAGCCCGACGCGGGGCTCGAACTCACGGACCGTGAGATCATGACCTGAGCTGAAGTTGGCCACTTAACCGACTGGGCCACCTAGGCGCCCTGTCCATGCCTACATCTTAAAATGCTTATCTCTTTTACTGCTTTTCTAACATTTTACTTCACTTTCAAATACTTTTTTTCCCCACTTACCCTACTACCCAGTAAGCCATAACTGGTGGTGTTTTTCTCTGATCTGTCCACTTTTCAGGTGAGCATTCAAACAACACACCATGTTCTTTCACAGGGTGAAGAGAAGATACTGAATTTGTAGAACCTGAATGATCTTCACCATTTAGTGCTTTCTTTTTCTGTAAATTAAATAAGTATTATTAGTATTCACAGGTATTAATGTTACTTTAAAATGTTTTCACACAGAGATTTGAATTGACTGATCCTAATACTTAAGTGCCTAGAATGACACTCTTCTCATCAGTGGGAAAATTTTTATTCTTCTTCATACTTAGTATAAATACCATTTCCTAAAAAAGACTTTATAGATAAAGTGTCCTTGAAATCTCCCAGAAAACATTTTGCTCACAGCCCTATATTATTAGTATTTATATTAATTATATTAGCAGTTTATAGATCTGTCTTCTCCAGTAGACTATATGCTTTTTGCTAGGGCAGAGACAATATGATATTCATATTTGTATGTTTTGAAGCAGCAGGGCCAGGTACATAGTAGGTGCTTAATAAATAGATTACTAATGAATAGGTTACTAAATTAGTAGATGATTTTGTAATATACTTAAAACAGTATTGTCTCTTCCTTTCTTAAAGTTTATTTATTTATTTTTTAGAGAGACAGCAAGAATGCATGCATGAGCCGGGTAAGGGCGGACAGAGAGAGAGAGAGAGAGAGAGAGAGAGAGAGAATCCCAAGCAGGCTGCAGGCTGTCTGCATGGAACCCAACATGGGACTCAATCTCACAAACTATAGGATCATGACCTGAGCCCAAGTCAAGAGATGGCTGCCTAACCCACAGAGCTACCTAGGTGCCTGTGGTCTCTTCTTTCATGCATACTCTAAATTTCTCATTGATTAAATCATTAGCAAAAGAATGACTCATTTGGAAAAAAAAAAAAAAAAAAAGACTCTTTGTAAGGCTCAGGCTAAAATCATGGAGTGATCCTTGATTCTTCTCTTTCTCTGAAAATCCTTACCTAATCTGTCAACAGATCCTTTTGGCTCACCCTCCAAAATACATCCAGAATCCAGAAGCCACTATCATCTTGCTTTGAGAATTTCTATAGCCTCCTAATGGAAATTCCTGGTCCCTGCCTCTACCCTTGCTACACTACAGAGCTTGTTCTTGGTACAGTAGTAGCTCAAGTGATCCTTTCAAAAATTTAGGATCATGTCCTTCCTCTGCTTAGAACTGAGAGCTTCCTATCTCCTTCAGAGCAACCCCAAAGTCCTTAAATATATCAGGCCATGTGCGATTTGGCCCTGCTAACCTTTGCCATCTCAACTCCTACCACCTTCCTCCCCGATGGCTCCAGCATTCTCAGCCACTCCTACTTCTGTGGCTTTGCAATTGCACTCGTACTTGTTTTCTCTGTCTGGAAGCCCTGCCTTCAGATCGTTTCCTCACTTCATTCAGGTCTTTGTTCAAATATTACCTATCTTATTATTCCTGTTAAACTTATCCTACCTGACATATTATACGACTTGCCAATTAATTCGTCTTCTCCATTAGATATAGGTTTTGGTAGAATAGGCAGTTAGTTAAACGTGAGCAGGAGGCAAAGGCAGTGATAAATAGGTGACACATTAGAAGCCTAAGGGCATCACATCCTGACTTGTTGGCTTTTAATATCCTGGCCTTAAATTAAGGCATCCAATGCCCAGGAGCTGATAGACCAAGAGCCAAAGCTCTCCTCTTCCACCTCCCTCTGCCCCAGGGTAACCTACAGCTTCATTATAATATATTTACATTGTGGTTTCAACCTCTACACTCCCCACCAAGGAGGAAGATGGCCATGACAGTTGTGGCAAGAACCCTGCAGAGCCCCAAACTCCCCTTTCCAACCAGAGACTGTCCCGGCTATGACCTGTAACTTACACAAACATAAAAACAAAAGAGACCCCTAATCCAGGTGCAGCTACCACCTCTGGGCCTGCCCACTCTCCCACCTTGCCAGTGTACTGTCCTTAATAAACTGTTTTAAATAAATAAATAAATAAATAAATAAATAAGCAAACTGTTTTATGCTTGCTACCTTCCTCCTTGGTGTCTTTATTTGAACACGGATCCTCATGTAAATCTTTCTGGAATACAAGAACCCAGACCTCCCTTCACACAATGTAGACTCTTCCACTGGTAATAGCTTCATGAAGAAAGGGACTTTGTTCACTGCTGTATCCCCAGCACCAGAACAGTGTCTGGTACATAGTAGATACCTCAATAGTTCAGTAATATGGAAAAGGCTAATTTACATTACTAAGCATTGTAATACATTGCATTACTAAGCGTACTTACGCAAATGCTTATGCGTAATATTTATATTACATAAGACATAATAGTATATAGTCGAACATAATATTAGTTCTAGGACTAATCCTCTATGGACCTCAACTGTCCGAAAGAGCTTAATCACCAAGCCTTGAGAAACCAGCAACCATTGCCTGAACTTGTACCTCTTCTCGCACCGGGCCCATCTTAACCTGGGGGTTTCTATTGTGAAACTATACCTGGCATCTGGTTCTTACCTCAGGGCCATCAAATTCTTGACTCCAATCCTTCAACCCTCTCAAATGGGACATCTCGATGGACTAATGACTAATCAGCCCATGATCACACATAACTGTGGTGTCATGCATTTGGTATTTTTTAATTTTTAGGAGGGGAACTTGCTATGACTCAGCTATGACCGTAAAGGTCTCGATGCAGTCAAATATCTTGTAGCTGGGCTTATTCTCTATGCGGGGTCTCCACACACATACAAATAAGGTGCAATTCAGTCAATGGTTACAGGACATATACTCCAATTCCTGACGTCTCACGGGACACAGCGTGCATGCACCCATGTATACGCACACACGCATACACGTATACACGTACACTCACGTTTCCACATACGCATATATGCATTACACATGCACTTTAATTTAGTAAATAACTAGCTTAACCAAATCCCCCTTACCCCCCGTTAACCTTATTAGTAAAAATACGCGTTTATTACTGTCCTACCAAACCCAAAAAACAAGACTAAACCTGTACCTAAATATAAGGCCTAAGAAGCAACATTTATAAATTCATCAAATCCCTGTTATTACTACTAATACTAATTTATATCTCTGTTCGCAGCTATCTATAGATACACTAACCTAAGCTCTAATTCGTCCCTATGGAGCAATATTTTTCCCACACCTAATCAACTTAATACAATACTTCCTCCCCGTTAATGTAGCTTAAATATACAAAGCAAGGCACTGAAAATGCCTAGATGAGTCGTCAGACTCCATAAACACAAAGGTTTGGTCCTGGCCTTTCCATTAGTTATTAATAAGATTACACATGCAAGCCTCTGTACCCCGGTGAAAATGCCCTCGAGGTCACTCAGCGACCTAAAGGAGCTGGTATCAAGCACACAACCACTTAACTCATGACACCTTGCTCAGCCACACCCCCACGGGATACAGCAGTGATAAAAATTAAGCTATGAATGAAAGTTCGACTAAGCTATATTAAACAAGGGTTGGTAAATTTCGTGCCAGCCACCGCGGTCATACGATTAACCCAAACTAATAGACCCACGGCGTAAAGCGTGTTATAGAGAAAAACTCATACTAAAGTTAAACCTTAACTAGTCTGTAAAAAGCTACAATTAACGTAAAAATACAGCACGAGAGTAACTTTAACATCTCCGACCACATGATAGCTAAGACCCAAACTGGGATTAGATACCCCACTATGCTTAGCCCTAAACCTAGATAGTTTAACTAAACAAAACTATCCACCAGAGAACTACTAGCAACAGCTTAAAACTCAAAGGACTTGGCGGTGCTTTATATCCCTCTAGAGGAGCCTGTTCTATAATCGATAAACCCCAATATACCTCACCATCTCTTGCTAAATCAGCCTATATACCGCCATCTTCAGCAAACCCTAAAAAGGGAAGAAAAGTAAGCACAAGTATCTTAACCCAAAATAGTTAGGTCAATGTGTAGCCCATGAGATGGGAAGCAATGGGCTACATTTTCTATAACTAGAATACCCACGAAAATCCTTATGAAACTAAGGACTAAAGGAGGATTTAGTAGTAAATTGAGAATAGAGAGCTCAATTGAATTGGGCCATGAAGCACGCACACACCGCCCGTCACCCTCCTCAAGTGACAAAAACCCTTAAAAAAAAACTATTCAAACCACTAAACCCACAAGAGGAGACAAGTCGTAACAAGGTAAGCATACTGGAAAGTGTGCTTGGATAAACAAGATGTAGCTGAAACAAAGCATCTGGCTTACACCCAGAAGATTTCATATTAAACTGACCATCTTGAGCCAAAGCTAGCCCAAACACCCATAAATTCAATTAACATTAGACAATAAAATAAAACAGTTACCCTTAAAAGTATAGGAGATAGAAATTTAACTTGCCGCTATAGAGAGAGTACTGCAAGGGAAAGATGAAAGAAAAATTAAAAGCACTACACAGCAAAGATTACCCCTTGTACCTTTTGCATAATGAATTAGCTAGAACAACCTAACAAAGAGAACTTTAGCTAGGTCCCCCGAAACCAGACGAGCTACCCATGAACAATCTTTACGGGATGAACTTGTCTATGTTGCAAAATGGTGAGATTTGTGGGTAGAGGTGAAAAGCCTAACGAGCCTGGTGATAGCTGGTTACCCAGAACAGAATTTTAGTTCAACTTTAAACTTACCCCAAAAACCTCCTAAAATTCTAATGTAAGTTTAAAATATAATCTAAAAAGGTACAGCTTTTTAGAACTAGGATACAGCCTTCCTTAGAGAGTAAGCATAAACATAAACCATAGTTGGCTTAAAAGCAGCCATCAATTAAGAAAGTGTTCAAGCTCAACAATCAAAACACCTTAATGTCAAAAAATGCAACCAACTCCTAACTCAATACTGGGTCAATCTATTCAACAATAGAAGCAATAATGCTAATATAAGTAACAAGAAATACTTCTCCTTGCATAAGCTTATATCAGAGCGGATAACCACTGATAGTTACCGACAAGATAAATATAACCTAACCATAAACCAAATATCAAACCAATTGTTAACCCAACACAGGTATGCAAATAAGGAAAGATTAAAAGAAGTAAATGGAACTCAGCAAACACAAGCCCCGCCTGTATACCAAAAACATCACCTCTAGCATTTCTAGTATTAGAGGCAGTGCCTGCCTGGTGACATTAGTTAAACGGCCGCGGTATCCTGACCGTGCAAAGGTAGCATAATCACTTGTTCCCTAAATAGGGACTTGTGCGAATGGCCACAGGAGGGCTTTACTGTCTCTTACTTCCAATCCGTGAAATTGACCTTCCCATGAAGAGGTGGGAATATAACAATAGGACGAGAAGATCCTTATGGAGCTTTAATTAACTGGCTCAAAGAGACCTCATCAATCAACCGACAGGGACAACAGACCTCTACATGAGTAATATTTATTTTGCGTCGTGAGTATTACATGAATAAATTAATGAGACATTCCTTTATAGAATCAACCAGTTATGTTACAAGGAAAGGGGGATCGTAAGACCACAAAGCACACAGAGATATATGGTCAGACGTAACATTTTGCTGAATACTAATTTCTGATAGCTCAAAGAAGAAATCCTATCAGACACAGAATTTATTGCTGAACAAGTTCTAAGACATAATTCAGCCCACTTACTTTACAGTAAGGAAATAGGAAGAGTTGAGGCTCAGTCCAGGATTCCTTATTCCCAGTCCAATGTTCTACTTTAAACCCAAGTTCTTCACAAACTTAGCATTCTTAACACACATATTGCTGTATACATTACTAGCATCTTCAGAGAGGGTTTTGTGGTTTTTTATTTTTTAATTTTTTTTGGCTGTATGATATTTGACCACTGACAAGTGAATTTCTGTATGTTTATCCTTTTCCAGAAATCAACACATACTTTTCCCTGCCATTAAGATAATCTAATTGATTTTTTAATTATATACAACATTACTACTTTCCAGAGGTATAATATTAAATGAAACTTCATCCTGGATTAAAAAGCAAGCAAGCAAGCAAGAAATGAAACAAGTGGCTGAAACATTTACAACAGTCTTGTGTCTACTGCTATATTTTACCCTATTATATTACAAAATACCTTATATTACTGATGGAATACTTAAAGAATTATCAGAGTTACCAACGGGTAGATACTACTGCGCAAGTAATGGTTGACTCACAAATGTCAAATATGGAGGCTAATTTACATTACAAACTACCATATTCTACTTTGCTGTAGAAGAACACAGGTCCACCATTTTCTGAAATAGTAATCCAGGACATCAAACTCAGTATTATGAAACAAAGCTTTGAAGTTAAATATGGTGAGTATAATCCTTTGGGCACTCAAGTTAGATTGGGTGCTCTAGTTAGATTGGATGATTGTTACAAAATTTTTAAATAAAAACTGTAATTATTGGGCATACTGATTAAAGACCTTTTAGAGATAATATTTAGAGGTCTGGGAACAAAACAGAAAAGTATACTTATGGCAGTATCCTACCTCTTCTACCAATGTCTGTTGGAAAATTGCACGAATGGAGAGACAACACTGATGGAAATTCTTTATTAGTTGAGGGTGGATAGAGCCACTTAGCTGTGCCACTTCTTCATGGGTAGGAGTAATAAAGATCCCTTGCACAGTTTCTAAGGCAACATAGTGGAAAAGTGTGTTCTCAGGACCAGATGTCAATCTTGAAAAGAACAAAAGAAAGAAAAAAAATATTTAAGTAAGCTTAAAAATATTCCTTCATTTTGAATGTTTATAGACTCCTAAGTTTTTATCTACAATATAATATTAGGAGTGTAATTAGGACAGGGAAACTAGTACAAATATTTAATTCCCATTTCCTCCTTAACTAAAGTACAGCTAGGGTTATTATCAATTCGTTAATGGAGGCAAATACTACATGGTATGTGAGGATAAACACCAATTACAAACCACTTAATTATTCCTTTGCTAAACAACCCAAATTGGCTAAACCCTTCTTTTTCCATGGTTGGTAATAAATAACTCAGCCCCTGTCTGGCCCAGATACCTACAAGTCATAAATAAGGTATCAGTCCAGAGTGGACCACATACAAGAACACCTTCCAACAAAATGAACACATTTAAGTTTGTAGCATAACAGTCAGACTGATGATCCTGAAGAAAAATAAAATTATTATTAGTGACTGCAAAACTGGGTTAATAATCTAGAATACTATGACAATTACTGGTAGTATTCTACTATTCATCATCACCGTCTTCCTTCCCTTACATGTTCTCTTACTATTTTCATTTCTCCATTCTTTCTTCCCCTATTTAGGTCTCAGACAAGTCAGTAGAATCTATAAATATTTATTTCTACCAATGGTAAGAAGAGCTAAAGAATAACAATGATAGCAACAACAAAATACTAATAGTATCACATACTGAATGCCCTCTCTGTGCCTGGGGTGGGAGGGGGGCTTTAAAATACCTTAGTCTTAATTCTCACAATGATCTTGTGAGATATTAAATAGTATTACTCCCCTCATTTTAACCACGAGGAAATCAGTGTTCAGAGATCTCAGATTAACTTGCTTGAGGTCACACAGCTAAGTGGCTGAGCTAAGCTAACTCTGAAGCTTACTCCACTATCCCTTACTTTTTCCTTTCTACTGATGACTTCTGATGGGCAATCTTTAAACATATGGACAGCAATTCTCCATTTGCATTTCAAACACTCAAGCTGCCCTCATTCTAATTCTGATGTCTATTTTTAAAACATTCTCTCAGTTGATTTTTTTCCAGCCATAAGCACAGAGGCAGAGAAAAGGCATGTAACATCTCTTAGCTTGGATACTGCCTTTGATCATCCATGCTAGTTAAAATCCTGTTAAACTCTTAATTAGGAGGCATGATCAGAATAATTTCTCCTTCTTATTAGTTATTTATGGCTTTGGTTCTTTATTCAGACCAGGGATAGACCGGAAAGGAGATCATCTGCAAATTTTTCTCATACTTTTCTAGAAGGTGGCTGGCTCATTAACAACTCAACTGGTGGCTGATCTTTTTCAATTAGTAACTCAAATAATCAAGAAGAGAGGAATTTTGATTACTCAAAAAGGAAACTAAATTAAAACATACATTTTATTTTAGAGGTCTTCAAAATTAAGAAAAGGTACAGAACAGAAACAATTCTTTAAAAAGAGAAATTAATAAGATTCCTTTTTAGGGAGGTTTAGAACCAACATTTTTGTTGTTTTTTTTAACTTTCTCTCTCTCTCAAAAAAAAAAAAAAATCCACAACACAGTGAGGAAATTTAGCTCTTGAAAATCATAAACTCATTCAGAGTATATTAACTCAGTGGATACACTGCAAGTTTAAAAATCATCAAACAATTGCCCAATGGGAAGACAAAATATTTGTGAAAGCATAGATTAAGTCATTTATTATTGAGAAAGGTCACTCCTGCAGCAGAAAATGGATTCATGGTAGGCTGGGAGTTGGGAGACTGTTGCAGTGAAACAGGTAAGACAATGGGAGCCTGATCTACAGTAGGAACAATAGGGGTTGAATGGAATAAATAATTATTAGAATGTAGAGTATAGGACTTGGTTATCAAATGAACTGTTTTGTGTATATTATTTTTAATATGTTATATATTTTTATTTTACAAAAGTGTATACACAGAAATTAGGATAATCTACACTGGCTTATTTCATACTTTTAAAATTAACTACATAGTATGAACATTTTTCATGTCAATAAAGAAAATAAATATGCATCTGTAGCATCTTTAAAAAAATTTTTTTTAATGTTTCATTTTTTTATTTTGAGAGAGAGAGAGAGAGTATGAGTGGGAGAGGAACAGGGGGAGAGGGAGAGAGAGAATCCCAAGCAGACTCCATGCTCAGCACAGAGCCCCAGGCAGGGCTCGATCTCATGACCCGGAGATCATGACCTAAGCCAATATCAAGAGTCTGACGCTTAACCAACTGAGCCACCCAGGCACCTCTGTAGGATCTTTTTAAATAGACAGCCTATGATTTACATTGTATATGAATTTATGTTCAAGCCTGAACTTGTAAAACATTTTCTTTTACTAGAGATAAGGTAAAAATAACACACACACATTTAAAAAGTAAGATGTGGGGGTAATAAAATTTCAGAGTGGTATTTGTTAAATAGAAGACGAGGGTTTGGGAAAGTATTTCAAAGCTCTACAAAAGGTTTGATTTAGATTTGTTTAAAAAACATTTTTAACTATTAAAAAACTAACCATAGTTTTTGAAGGCATTAAATTTAACACATTAGATTCCCATTACATTATTTTATGCAGACAAGTTACCTTGTTTTTGCTCTAACGTCAGGAAAAAAAAGCCGTTTCTGACAACTCTGTGACATATATATTTGAACTTATTATAAAATGTTTTGGGGTGCCTGGGTGGTTCAGTTGATTAAGTGTCCAACTCTTGATTTCGGCTCAGGTCATTATCCCATGGTTTGTGAGTTTGACCCCTACGTCCAGCTCTATGCTGACTGTGTAGAGCCTGCTTGGGATTCTCTTTCTCCCCCTCTCTTTCTGTCTCTCCCTCTCTCTCTCTCAAAGATAAATCAATAAACATAAAAAATAAATAAACATTAACAAAAAAATAAACATTCATAATCTTTAAAAAGATGTTTCATGATTAAGAAAGTAATAGTGCTGAACTTTTTGTGTGTGATTTATGTGTCTGCTTATTCAAATAGAAGTGTGCAATGGAGTTTGTTATACTAACTGACCCCACACATGACATCATAATTAAACATCAGGCAAAGCTCAGACAGCTCACAAGAAGTGAATACGTAACATTTTACATTTTAATAATTACAGAGTTTAATAATTATAGACATTTTATGTTTTAATAATTATAGACATGCTCTTCTCACTCCGTTCCTTTTACTTCAGAATTCCTACTTAATGTAAGTTTGAGGTTTCATTTCTTTCCTAAAATGGGTGTTATAGGCTCAGTTCCTACCCCCGGACTCAGAGGGAGATGCAGCAAGGAAGTTTACTAGGGAGAACTCTGGGGAACAACACTTGTGGGAGGAAGTCCCACAAGTGTGGGAGGAAGAAGGATTGAGCAGAGGGAAAAGCTGAACCACACTGCGGTTGAAACAAAATCTCAGCAGATACCACTTGGAACTATGAGATTGGATGGCCTTTTAGAGTTGTCTCGAATTTAGGCCAAGTCTTTGTATTCAACTTATCTATTAGTCCTTAGATGTGGGCTATTTCTAGGGATAAATTGTCATCTTGGCTGAGTCAATAAACTTCCAAGCAGAACAAGAGACTCAGCTGTGAGTAGTTAGCAGCCATTATCCCCAAACACTGGAAGGAGTACCCTGGGCTATGGAATATCTGTGCAGCAGACTGCAGCATCCACCAAAGTCTAAAAACAGTAAATACTATAATAAAAAAATTAGACATACAAAAGGGAGGTTACCTGTGGAAAAGAGATAAGAGGGGACTTTCACATTTTGAAACATCACTCTGTTTTTTTATCTCTTATAATAGGAGTACGGGTTCCCTATTGTATAATCAAAAACATTAGTGAATTAGCATAGACATTACCTTTAATATGTAAGATATATCACAATTACATTTTTTGAGTTAAATCTCTATATGTTATGGATTTGTACTTCCTTACTGTAAAGTTTGCTCGAAGACACATGTTTTAAAAAAAAAGAATACAAGGATGCTTCTTACCTCATTGTGTTATATATTTCCAGTTCTTTATCTGAAAAGTCCTTTTTCAAGTTCCCCAAATGAAATGGATTTGGAAGAGCAGACTTCCGTTTAGTGACCTGAAAAATGCAGTTAAGTAGATCAGTTTGCATCTAAGAATGGAATCAAACAGCAGAAATAATGTAAAAACTGAAAACTTTCTAAGAGAACTATTTAGTATTTTGCAATGTTTCCTTTAAATATGTTTGAGGCTAACTTATACCTCCTGGCTTATTCTTCTCTAACAGTGACCTAGGGCCATGTCATAGAAGGATGTCATAGTTCTTCCTGAAAATCTACCAGAGCCACTATCAAGTTTTGTTACACTTTTTTTTTCATTTTTTTTTTCTTTTCTTTATCTTAGAGAGAGAGAAAGAGAGTGTGAGAGGGGAAGAGGGGCAGAGGGAGAAAGAAAATCTCAAGTAGGCTCCATCCATGTTCAGTACAGAGCCCAATGTGGGGCTTGATCCCACAACCCTGGGGTCATGACTTGTTACAAAACCAATCAAATGAGCTGCCCATGTGCCCCAAGTTTTGTTATATTTTATGTGTAAATATGCTTGTCTCCCTCTCTAGACTTTGCACTCCTCAAAGGCAGGGGCTATGTCTTACCCATCTTTGTATTTCTGTATAGCATGGCCCTTGGCACATAATAGGTGTTCAATCAAATTTGTTGAATGGCTCGATTATAGAGATTATTTAATTTCTCTTCAGAGTTATTCATGGCTTCTTAAGCCTACTACTTCTTAAACTATGTTTCCTACCAATTTCACCAACTGGGATAATGAATATATAGGACGAATGCGGGTATTTTCTAAATATATCCACTTCAGACTCCAAGACTGCTGTATTGTTTGGAATTAGAAGATGGAAGCTATGGCTATTTATGCCATGACACTCAGAATCTCACATTTTATTGGTGCCCCTTCTCAGATTCTATCTTATTCATGTCTTGTCTGACATCACTTCCAACAATCCAAATGACAAGCAAGTTTCAAAAGTGTTCTGAAAGTAGAGCATCACTAGAATAGTAGAAGACCTCCCGGGGTGATTACTTTGATGATCATTTGGATACATTATTGTATCCAAAAACATGGAAAAAGGATAAAAATAAACAATCTGAAAAATGAACATTCTCTTTGTTTTATAATCACATTTTAAATTATTGACAATGGAGACCAGCCTTTATAGATTCAGATAAAAACAAAATAAAACAAAACTATAAAAACCTATAGAATAACATGTATATACACATATATTTACATAAATATATTTTTTTAGGTTTCTGATTCTCTGTTTCTGCTGAATATTTTATTGCTTATTTAGTTAAATCAGGCATCTAAAATCCCACACAACTAGGATGTTCTCTGTTAACCTTGTGACAGAAGAAAGATGAACAGGGAAAGCAGGATTAAAGAATTTTCCTACTTGTAAGTAGTGTCAAGCAGTTGTCCTGGATGCTACTATTTTATTACTTGATATTTCTTTCTCTTTTTGGTTCTTTATTTTTTTTTTATTCTTTTATTTAAAAAAAATTTTTTTTTAACGTTTTATTTATTTTTGAGACAGGGAGAGACAAAGCATGAACAGGGGAGGGTCAGAGAGAGGGAGACACAGAATCTGAAACAGGCTCCAGGCTCTGAGCTGTCAGCACAGAACCCGACGCGGGGCTCGAACCCACGGACCGCAAGATCATGACCTGAGCCGAAGTCGGCTGCTTAACTGACTGAGCCACCCAGGCGCCCCTCTCTTTTTTGGTTCTAAATCACTGGTTTGCTAACAATAACCAAAACAACCACTAGATCAAATGAAGAATGATTTGCCTTTAAAAATTTTCTTGCAATTATAAAATAAGAACTGGAAAGACAGTAGCTCTCAAATGTACACACTCAAATGAACACACACCTTAAGCAAGGCCCCACTTTCTTCTGAACCATCAGAGCCCTGAGGTTCTCTTTGTTGTTTCCGTACTGTATCTGGTGTAGAGTGGGGACTCAGGTGAATACCTTCTCCACCTTCACAACCATTGTCAGATCCTCCACTGCTTTGGGAAGGACTGGGCTTACGTGTCTTTAAGGAATAGTCACCAAAAAGAATTCTTCTGCATGTTGGAGAGGTTGCTACTTTGGAAGTACCTGGAAGCTTACTGAGGATAGGTGAGGTTGTCAAACTATCTAATTTTTCATGTGCTCCAGTAAGGAACCAGTCAGCACAAGACAAACAGGGGCTTGGAGACGTTAGCCGTTCATTTATGCGACAATCTATTCCTTCCAGCTGATGAAGAGTTGTTTTGACCTGATCCACATATATACAGTCTGGTCCAGGATTCCCAATAGCTTTGGATGCACAGCCTCCAGCTTCTAATAGTACACATAACATATAATGCTTCTATAAGACAAAAATATTAATAGAGATTTAGCTACATGAAAATGTTTATATGTAGTGTGCATGCATAAATTTATAAGTACGAAAAACATGGTATAATCATATGATTATTAAAAACTGCCTCAGTTTCTTAGTTATTCTCAATGCTTCCTGATCATCCTTGAAAACAAATCTCATATTGCCTTCTCTTGGTATACCATCAAAGACTACTTTCTGATACATGGAATTCCTTAAGGTGGCTTTCAAAGAGCCACAGTGATTAGAAGTCCTTTTATCTACAATCACATGTTTTTTCTGATTCTATATTCTTTTCATGTCTCTCTTTCCCAAGACAAACCAGAGGATAAAACCACTACAGAAATGAGAACAAAAGATCTGAAGAACCTAATAAAATCTTATTCTGGGCTTCATTAATATTTCTTCACGAGTATTAAATGGATGTAAAAGAAAAGGAATAAGGGACATATAACATTTTCTTGAATACTGGTATCTGGCACGCTCATAATTTTAAACTGTCATATTTGTTTGTGTATTTTAAGATAGTAAATGGCCAAAAAAAAAAAAAAAAAAAAAAAAAAAAGCCACCCCAAAACGCACACACAGAAACCAAAGTAAACTTACCAAGCCAACGATTAGCAAAAAATATCTTCCTTCAGGTTCCTGAAAGACTTCAGTGTTTGAGTCTGTAGAAGGTTGGAGGTGATGTTGAGGAAACACTTCTCTCCATATAACCAACTGACCAATTCTTTGTTTTGCTGCTAACGGCAGTAGGCAATAGTGGCGACAGTATATGGCAATATCAATAAGGTCATCCTTAGGCAAATGACTGCAGATCAAATAACCCTTGAATTTAACCACAAAGAACAGAAGTCAACTATGTCATAATATATTTCTAAGAATTTTACAGGTACTTCAGTTAGCTTAAAATATTCCAGTTTCAAATAGAATAAAGACATAGCAAAGATAAATGTTCTTTTTCTGAGGTCAATTAGAGATCAAATATTTATGATAAGTCTACCACAGACTTTAGCACAAAGCAAGATGGCCTGAGTAGTATAAACCTGACTATTTGGCAAAGTTAGAAAAGAACTGAATTTTGAGCATGGAAAGTGGAGAAGAGAAGTTACAGTAAGGACAGACTTACTTTTCACTGTGTACCATTCTGTACTGTCTGATTCTTTTTTAGATATGTTTTAAATCATGTTTAAAAATCTTCTTGAAGTGCCAAAACACTTAAATTCATTTGATGCTTAATTTGCTTTGCATGGAAGTCAATGAAATGTTAGAAGATATACTAAAAAGATATATGGTTATGTCTGAGGATAAGAAAAAAAGTGCACTGCTGCAAAAAGAAACCGAGAGAGTATTGCTCTTCTCTCCTATGCACTTGGTTCCTCCATTACTATTTCTGCTTATACATCTGCAAATGCAATATATGTAATGAATGTAATAATATCAAAAATATTTTATTTGTAAATCTGTAGGTACTGGGTTTTTTTGAAGACCTTAATTTTATGGTAACTACATTCAAAGGAAAAGAGATAAATGTATTTTTCATGTTTGTAGAAGTTTGAGAAAATTTACTTTAGGTCTCTTTATATGGCAGTTGGACATTTATAAAAATTTCAGCCTTCAACTTACCTTGTAAAATAGAGAAGATCCTAAAATTGTATACAGCCGCCTCATGTCATAGTAGTCCTCAGACTGGGGGAGCAAAACCACAGTGGATTTATATTCTTTGTTTTTCATGATTAAAAAAATCCTAGTAAAGCTATAATAATTAAAAATGGCAATTATATTCTTTAGTAACTGAACTTTTCATAGTGCCTTCTTTAGAAATGAACATACTAGGGTATTAGGGTGAAAAATAATGTGCATATATTTTTGACTGAAAGCAATCTTATTTTTTATTCTTATAAGATACTGTTGATTAGAGACATTTAAGAACAGAACATAAGTGGGGCGCCTGGGTGGCTCAGTCAATTAAGCATTCAGCTCTTGATTTCAGCTCAGGTCATGATCTCATGGTCCATGGATTTGAGCCCCGTGTCAGGCTCTGTGCTGACAGCTCGGAGCCTGAAGCCTACTTCGGATTCTGTGTCTCCCTCTCTCTCTGCCCCTCCCCTGCTCTCTCTCAAAAATAAATAAACATCAAAATAAATAAATAAATAAATAAATAAATAAATAAATAAATACATACATACATACATACATACATAAAAATTAAATAAATAAGAAGTTTTTTTAAGGCAAGGAAAATAAATTTTGTTCATGTCAAAATAGAGATCCAATGCTACGTATTTCAAGATTATTACATGCCCACTTGAAAAATATTTAGAATAATGGCTGATTTACAATATATGAAATCAACATTAAGCCTAAAATCCACTGGCTTTCTTACCAGTTCAGCAAAATCTGCAGACTCTAAGTCACTCAATGCTGTGTCTAGTTCCATCTATGTGGGAAAAAAACAAAAAACAAAAAACAAAAAACCACAACCATTTAACTCGGTTATTGTTTAGTAATGGCCTCATAAAAGTGCTTAATAATTACTTGAAGAATTGAATAAGTATCTTTCTCCTTTGTGATATTTAAGAAATGTCCGAAAATAGAACATGTTGTTTTAAGCTTTGCAATTACATGGAAAAAAATTATTTAACATATTGTCATTTTTCAATTAAATCTCAATTATTACAAAATGAACTTCACTCTGTATTCAATGCAAAATAACTTATGAGGTTAAAAATTTGCTTTCTAGTTTTGAATTAGGAAATTTTTGAACCTTTCAAAAATTCTTACAGGAAAATAACCCATCTTAATGTACCCAATCTATTTTGAGGTTTTTTTTTTTCCCCCTTTATTGCTGTATATTTCTCAACAGTTAGATCCCTGGAAAATAAACATTCTTCCCTGTCTCTTTCCTAAGTTCTATATAAAAGGACTTTTAATCTTTATTTATGGATTAAAACATGAAGAAAAGTGTTCCCCTGGAACCTGGCACAGTTTAGCTTCCCTACAGGGTTATTAGAAAAATCTTACTTAGGATTTAGCTTTTGTTTCTATGGAAATTTCCCGAACTCTTTCATGTGTTTGTTCTTCCATGAAACATTCAAAATTTAAAAACAGAATAAATTTAATCTGTAGTTTAATCTGTAATACATATATATAAATTGAAAACTAGGCAGTTAAAGCTTGTGGCATAAATGCGATTTGTGGAAAAGAATCCTTTTTTTTCCTTTTCCTTTTCTTTTTAAAGGCCAAGGCACTCTCTGCAGGACTATTTCACAAGCTGTGTCTTACTGAGATGACAAAAGCTTTGGAAACATTAGTCATGCCTTTCAATACTTTTCACACTCTATGACTCATTACTCATTTGTGACCTGCATTTTTCTGTATCTAGCAAATATTTCATGTACTCCTTTTTGTGGCTTTGGTGCTCTTGTAAAAAATAATAGACAACAAGAAAAGTACCCACTTGTTAATTCTGATCTCACAAATATTAATGCTTCCAGGTTGCTATTCCTGCTACTGAACTCCGTAGGCTAACGTACAAGGTTACAATAATTGTTTCTTCACATTCCTTAAGAGAACAAAGTATCTACTCTCTTAATTATTCCAGTGTACCTTAAGAAAAATGACATTAAAAAAAAAAACAAAACATCTGGGGCGCCTGGGTGGCTCAGTCGGTTGAGCCTCTGACTTCAGCTCAGGTCATGATCTCGCAGTTCATGAGTTTGAGCCCCACGTTGGACTCTGTGCTGACAGCTCAGAGCCTGGAGCCTGTTTCAGATTCTGTGTCTCCCTCTCTCTGCCCCTTCCCCGCTCATGCTGTCTCTCTCTGTCTCTCAAAAATGAATAAAGGTTAAAAAAAAATTTTTTTTTTAAAAAAGAACATCTGATAAACAAACAAAAGCAAGTCACACCATATAATTATGATTTCTGAGAAGTATTACAAATTTAGAAAATGCTTAAATGTTACAGTAAGATGAGAGAGCTAATTTCTGTTTAGAAAGAAATATTTGTCTAAGTTCACTGTACTGGATCACCTACTTCATCAATCAATGGCTTCAACTCTTACCCACAATCCTGAAAATACAAAAAGGCTAAAAAAGAGAGAAGATAAAAAATTACAAGGCAACTGGTTCTGATTTTTATTTACGACACCCAGGATTACCTTGATTTCCTGTGGAAGTGTGAGCCACCGAACTCCGGGGAGACTGTCTAAAAGCACTGCACTGGAAGCATCATATTGTTGTGCGTTCAAACTGGCACTAGAATGTAGTTTAGTAGGCTGAAGTGCTCTTTGAAAGAACAAGATGAAAAAATGATCCAGACGAGGAACATTCTCAACCTGGCAAAAGGCACTGAAGAAACAACAGCTGTAAGTCAGAAAAACATATGGAAATAGTGGTCATCTTTTGTATGTCCCTAGGAGAGTGGATCTTTCCCAAATACATAGGCTCTCTTCCTTCCTCCTCTCCCTTATGAAGAATTACTGCTAGGGGCGCCTGGGTGGCTCAGTCGGTTAGGCATCTGACTTCAGCTCAGGTCATGATCTCGCGGTCCGTGAGTTCGAGCCCCGCGTTGGGCTCTGGGCTGATGGCTCAGAGCCTGGAGCCTGCTTCCGATTCTGTGTCTCCCTCTCTCTCTGCCCCTCCCCATTCATGCTCTGTCTCTGTCTCATAAATAAATAAAAACGTTAAAAAAAATTAAAAAAAAATAAAAAGAATTACTGCTATAATGTTATTGCACCGAAAACCTACTTTCAAATGCACTGAGCAGATGGTATTATGGAAGAACCACAGGGCTAACACAAGCGGTATATCTACAACAAAATGGACTGAAGTAACCTTTTTGTAAAAAAAAGTAAGTTGCTTTTACCTTATCTCTTAACCATTTAACCTCTCAATATCTTTCAGGCAGGATGGAATAATAAAGAAATTTTGAGCTTTGTAATAGAACATATTTGTCTTTGAATCTTATCATTGCTTTTACCAGGTAGTTATCTCAGGAAAAGTTCTTTGAACTTTTGTTTCCAACTCTAAAAATGGGGATAATACAATCTGACTTGCATGCAAAGTACTTAGTACTTTATTTATTTATTTATTATACTTATTACTTACTGAACACAGTAAGCACATAATTAGCCTAAGTTATTTTTCCCCTCTTCACTAATGTAGGCAACACTACTGAAGAACCGAAAAAGAGATAGAGACACACACACACACTAAACACTTGACTTTAGTTATGTAAAAATAATAGAGCATTGCCTGCAACTATTCATTGGAATAGCCTGCTTGATAACACAATAGCTAGTATATGTACCATTAATACATCAGAATAATATTCATGGATTCATTCAACAAATTGCTTGAGTGCCAACTATGTTCTAGGCACTATTCTCATTGCTGGAGGTACCGCAGTAAAAATATCAAGACAAAAGACAAGGTCTCTGCTTCTGTGGAGCTCATGTTCTAATGGAGAAAGACAACTAATGAACAAAGAGTAAAAACATGAGCTTGTACAAAGAGATATACAGAGAACAAGATCACGTGAATGGGTGATGTAACTGGTTGGTTATTTTACATCAAAAGTTGGGGAAGAGTCTTTGAGAATGGACATTTAGCTGAGATCCCAATGTCAAGAAGATCTAGGGACAGAAAAGAGCGCAAAAGCCCTAGTGTGGAACAAGTGTGGCCAGGGTGTCCACAGACCAGCCAGAGGGGAAATGTGGTTTGAGATCTGAAATCAGAAAGATATGTAGGAGCCAGATTATAATGTAAAAAGACTGCTTTAACCGCATTTGGAATTTTTTTTTTTTAATAAACATAGTTTATTGTCAAACTGGTTTCCATACAACACCTAGTGCTCATCCCAACAGGTGCCCTCCTAAATGCCCATCACCCACTTTCCTCTCTCCCCCACTCCCCATCAACCCTCAGTTCGTTCTCAGTATTTAAGAGTCTCTTATGGTTTGCCTTCTTCCCTCTCTGTAACTCTCCTCCCCCCTTACTCTCCCCCCTGGTCTTCTGTTAAGTTTCTCAGGATCCACATCAGAGTGAAAACATACGGCATCTGTCTGTCTCTGCCTGACTTATTTCACTTAGCATAATACTTTCCAGTTCCATCCACATTGCTACAAATGGTCAGATTTCATTCTTTCTCATTGTCAAGTAGTATTCCATTGTATATATAAACCACAACTTTTTTATCAATTCGTCAGCTGATGGACATTTAGGCTCTTTCCATAATTTGGCTATTGCTGAAAGTGCTGCTATAAACATTGGGGTACAAGTGCCCCTATGCATCAGAACTCCTGTATCCCTTGGGTAAATTCCTAGCAGTGCTACTGCTGGGTCATAGGGTAGGTCTATTTTTAATTTTTTGAGGAACCTCCACACTGTTTTCCAGAGTGGCTACACCAGTTTGCATTCCCACCAACAGTGCAAGAGGGTTCCCGTTTCTCCACATCCTCTCCAGCATCCATAGTCTCCTGATTTGTTCATTTTAGCCACTCTGACCAGAGTGAGGTGGTATCTCAGTGTGGTTTTGATTTATATTTCCCTGATAAGGAGTGATGTTGAGCATCTTTTCATGTCCTGTTGGTCCTCTGGATGTCTTCTTTAGAGAAGTGTCTATTCATGTTTTCTGCCCATTTCTTCACTGGATTATTTGTTTTTTGGGTGTGCAGTTTGGAGAGTTCTTTATAAATTTTGGATACTAGCTCTTTGTCTATATGCCATTTGCAAATATCTTTTCCCATTCCATCAGTTGCCTT